TGGTCACAAGAGGGCAAGCATAGCATATTATTTAATTTTACAATTCCGTTAAACTCAGCCACTTTGAAGTCTTACTATCTGGTCACTATAGGTATGGTATCTCTTTTTGACGTCCCAGTACTAGGCTGCAATTTGTTTAAGGTTAGTGTCTCTCTCATATGACAGGCTCAAGTAATTTGAAATGAGGCACAGACAGGGGTGTGAATATGCAGCACTGTTACAAACTAAAAAATAATAGTGTGAGACTACAATTACAGAGTTTGTTGTGTAAGCCTCTGACCTTTTGCCATCTGATCTTTTGCCGTCGGCATCTGAAATCAAAGACTTTGATCCTTGACAACAACATTCTTCTATCTAGGTTCATGGTTCAGTCATGCTCGCAGAGCAGGAGGCTACCTGCCGCTTCACCGGCCTACTATGGAATCAGCTTGCAAAACTCTTGCTCTTAGCACAGCGTGCAAAACTCTTTCTCTTAGCAAAGCTCTTACTATTACAGTCCACCCCTCGATTGTGAGACAGACCACTAAGAATTTGAGGTCGAACTTGCAATCATTCTAAGCAGTTCATATACACTGGATGTTATACAGATGGGTGAGGGACCAAATGCACAGATACAAAAAGCATGTCCATAATAACAAGCATACAACTACAATACAAATAACAACAGTAGGATGCAATAGAAGATTTAATACAACATTCGCTGTTCTTGGATGATTCTCAGTAGTTTACCACACTGGGTTGTTATCAGAACTCCGGTTCGGGAAATGGTGTTAGCTATCTTTTGGAGCTGGCAAGTGATTTCTTTACACTGGTCAAGTAACTGCTCAAGCTGTATAAAAGAAACTCATATGAGACATTAAGGAAGGGAACATTCTCCTTGGTACGTAGGTCAGTAATAATCATCACCTGATGGCAGCATTTACACACATGGGGTGAAGAGATTTCATCTCCATTCGACTGAATTGGGTTAGAAGAAAACACACGAGCTGTCCCATTCCTTAAATCATACATGAGGGTCTCTTGTAACCACCAGCATTCCCACCTACAATGACTGGGGTCATGACTGTAAGTGCATGGCTCATACAAATGGTTATGAGCCAGGGATACCCACCTCTCCAGCCAATTCTCACAATCATCTATGCGATGAGTCCTATTCATTAGATCAATGTAGGAACCCTCAAACGTGGGGACCCACCATTGATCTCCAAACAACTGGGGGAATATCTGCATTTTACACCACAAGGCAGGCCAGGCCTGATTAATGGCTAATTTAAACTCCACTGTGCAAACTGAGGTATTGCACTGGGTGCACTGAGGGAGGGGTAGCAAGCACCCCTCAAATTGTATCCCCAGGGCCTTTTGCCATTTTGACCCTGAGGATTCTTGTATGATAGCTCTTAAGTTATGACATTGCTGGTATGCTTGCAATTGCCAAAGCATACACAAGGTGGCATTCTGAAAGGTGGATTGATTCTTCAAGATGCCAGTTATTTTAAGAGCAGTCTGGTTAACCCATTGCCAAAGATGATAGGTACCAACTAAATGTGTCCCGGTCAACCAAGGCAATAAGGGTTCCCATGAACTTATCAATTTTAGGGCCTGTCCATCGAGCGAGCCCTATTTACTCAATTTATTTGCTGAGATTTCAATGTCAAAGCTATTGATCACCCCTGTGCCCACTCCAATTTCCCCTAGGATAGTATCGCTTATATCTCTCTTAACTCACAATGTACGTTCCAACCAGGGGGCACATTCCTTTTTGATTTTCGAAGATCAACCTTGGTTATATTGATGGTATACTGAACATGATGGATGTGAGGTTCTTGCCACACAGTACAACAGGTTGACTTAACCCTAGCTATGTGGGGTTTCCAGGTGGGCATGCTAGGTTGGTGCCTAACATCAAGCAATTGAACCCACCACCCCCTCCCCATTATGATGCTTGTATTATAACAAACCAGGGTGGAGTTTGGAGAAACTTGGGTCATCGGGATTTTACCCCCGGATTCACTATCACAACTTCCAGATATGTTTCTCAGGATCTTCTGAACCTTTCTTTTTGTCAACCATATTTGCTTGATTGTGGTACATTTAATGGGGGGGTCCCCAACAGCAAAGGAAAATTTTATCGTAACTGTCTCATTACAATGCAAAGTCCTCCACCCCTTCCCAGTTGATGGTCCTATCTAGCATGAGGTGACATCAACACTTAGATTTAAAAAGGGAAAGGACCATGAACCAGGGGGCATGTATAATTGCTGGAAATGCAGTTCCAAGTTGCACCTACCCATCCCCCGTGGTATTGGTAGGTAGCTGCAAAGACTGCATCTCTACAGAGATACAAGAAAGACAAACACACAAAACAGTACATGACAAAGTTAAAGTGATGCATAGCAAAAACAGGTTTCTTCCAAAGAGGCTCTGCCGTATAGCATGTACCAATCTGATTAATGTTGTCAGTCTGGAGAAGGTGGCTACTAGCCAATCAGTCCACCCAACAGCATCTTCAACATCCCATTGGGCTGTCATCTAGATTGAATGCTAAGGGTTATAATCCCCTTGCTTTCAATTGGTCCCTAGGTCTCAAATGGTATCGATTTCCACCCCTAGATGCTACCCAATCAGTATTACCTTCTCCCTCAGCTATGACTTCAGAAGGTATAGGATCCTTCCCCGGTTGGGTTACCCATACCCGTTGCCCCAAAGATTCAGATCTATCCTGATGCTGCATCTTTCAAGAACTTGATATCTGACCATTAACGGACACAAAGGGAGCAGGTAGAAGCAATAATTGGGCTATTCAATCTCCCTGTGCCCAGGCAAAAGGAGTTTTCCCCTGATTGTGTAGTATGATTTTCGCCTCCCTCCAGTATTCTGGGTCAATCACACCTCCCTTGGTCACCACCCCTCAAGCTGCAAGCCACAACTGAGATTGTATTTGCCCAAACCAGCCAGGAGGTAAATCCACAAACCAATTCAAAAGTACTATTGCTGTTTGTTCCACATCCAATGTACCTGCTTCAGGTGCTTCTCAATCCATATCCACTGATCCCACAGTCATGGGGACGGGAAGAAAAAAAGGTTTATGATTCTGTATTGGTTTTATGGTTAATGGGAGCATTGTCTCTCCCAATGCTCCCTCCTCCACCCCTGTCTTCCCACATTCATGCATCCTATCCATAGATGATTGTCCTTTGACAAGTTTTTATTATTAAGGGTAGCCACCATTTTAGGCAGTTGAGAGGGCCACCCCTGGAGGGTCGGACCCAATGTTTTGGTCAGTAATTACTTCAGTTGACCATTCCATCTCACAATGAGGCCTGCTGCCTGCGGGTGGTACAGAACATGAAATGTCTGAACAATGTCAAGTCCAGCTGCCCATTGTTGGGTAAGCAATGCAGTGAAGTGTGTACCTTGATTGGAGGAAATCTCATGGGGTATACCATGAATATGAACAATATGAATGAACACCATCCAATACATGGATGGTGGATGAGGCATCCACCTTCTGGACTGGTACAGCAATTCCATATTCAGAGAAAGTATCGATGGCTGTTAAGGCATAGTGATAATGATTAATCGTTGGCAGTGATTCAATATAGTCAACTTGCCATTTTTCAGGTGGTCCATGCCTTTTGGGGATATGGCCTGGCCTCTCATTTAAGGGTTTCTGTGCCAACTGACATCATGGACATTGCCCTGCTGCTGATGCAGTTTTACTTTGTGCTATGGGCAAGTCACATGTGACCGCCCAGGCATAGGCCGAGTTCCTTCTCGCATGTCCTGATTGCTGGTGTATCCAGTCGGCTAACGCATTGGTCTGACATGCCAACACTGGCCGTCAGCATGGTTGTTCCATTCATGTTCAGGATTTCTAGTGTTGATGGGTTGGTGGGTGTCCACATGACCAACATGAATTTCTATTACTTCTGATTTTATGGCTAGTTGTTTCCACAGGTCCTGACCCCATAAGTCTTTTCTTCTGATTTTTCAGTTTGAGGCTTTCCAGGCACCAGACCATACTGCCAAACCATTTGCCACTGCCCAGGAATCAGTATAGGTCCAAACTTTGTCATTCAGTCTCATAATCCACCACCAGCATAAGAGTTTGAAACTCAGCCCATTGAGAGGAGGCCCCCGTCCCAGTGTCTTTGAGTTGGTGACCAGTTACAGGGTTAATGGTGGCTGCAGTCCACATGCGAGTAGGATCCTCATATTGCACTGACCTGTCTGTAAACCAGGCAGCCTTCCTTTGGTTAGGCAGCAGATCGTCATAGCGAGGGGCCCATGAGGCAAGTGGGGGGGGCAAGATTGCAACAGGTAACACATTTGGTCCACCTTGCACTGGTGCTGGCAGGGTAGTAATTTTTTTATGAAATTTGCTTACGCCATGGGGGGCAGGCTTTGCGTGCTCTTATATGTACCATTTCCATTTGATAATGGAGGACTTTTAGGCTCTCCCTATTTTGTTGGAGATGGAGTCCTGCATGACCCACTGCATTATGGGAATTTTTGGTCTAATATGAATTTCATATTTCCTTAGTTATTCGTTCCGTTTCGATCAATGCCCAATAGCACGCCAGCAATTGCCATTTTAAAAGGGTGTAATTAGCAGCTGCATCAGGTAACTTCCAAGTCCAAAAGCCTAATGGGCACTTCTGATGTGTCTAGGAGTCTGCCACAAGCTCCATGATGCATGATCATGATATACTGACACTTCCAATGTAATAAGGTCAAATGATGAATAAGGGCCCAGGGGCAGGGCAGTCTGTATGCCTGATTTTACAACATTGAGGGCCTGGTGTTGTTTTTTTCCCCATTCAAAAGCAGCAGCCTTACATGTTACTTTATACAGAGGCTGCATCAATATCCCAAGGTGAGGTATGTGAGTGCGCCAGAATTCAAAAAGGCCAATCAGTTTTTGTGCTTCTTTTTTAGTAGTAGGATCAGGGAGGGAGAGTAGTTTATCCTTTATTTTTTGTGGAAAATTTTAGTAGGTCTTGACCATTGAACTCCCAGAAATTTTACATTTTGGGCTGGACCTTGAGTTTTCTGTGGATGTATCTCCTACCCCTTCCCTCACATATGTTTCACTATACATTTTACAGCTTCTGCCACAGGACTCAGGGTGTTGCCTATTAGCATTATATCATCAATATAATGCTTGGCTAACACTCCTTCAGGCAAAGAAATCTTACTTAAGTCACGTCAGACCATGTTGTGACAATAGGCAGGGGAATTTAAATACCCTTGTGGAAGCATGGTGAAAGTGTATTTCTGTCCCTCCCAAGTAAAGGCAAACTGGGCCTGATCTGCATGTAGAGGGATAGAGAAAAAAACATTAAACAAGTCAATCACAGCATACCACTCACCGGAGGCAGCACGAATATTCTCTAGCATAGAAACCATATCTGTTACTGCAGCTGAAATCGGGTCTACTACTTTGTTGAGTTCCCGATAATCTACCGTCAATCTCCATGACCCAGCAGGTTTGCAAACTGGCCAGATGGGAGAATTGAACAGTGAGCTAAGAGGCACCAGCACACCCACCTCCTGTAAGTCCTTGGTCATCTTGGCAATGTCTTCCTTCCCACCCAGGATTCGATATTGCTTAAGGTTAACAATTTGGTGGGGAATAGGTAGTTTCAGGGGTTCCCACTTAGCACGACCCACTAATAAGTGTCTGACATTGTTCAGGGTACCTACTCGGATATTTTCCCATTCCCCTAGAACATTAATCCCTACAATACATTCAGGGATAGGCAATACCACTACCTGCATTAATCTGCATTTGGTGGGTCCCACAGTAATATACACAGTCACCAGACACCCGGTCATGGACACATTCCCATATCCTTCTAAAAGCATTTTTTCCTCCTTCAAATTAGTTGGGTCTCCTGGTATAATGGTAATTTCACAGCCAGTATCTAATAGTCCTATAAAAGTTTGAACTCTTCTAGCCAGCCATTCCACCGTCACTTCGGCATATGGCCTCCGGTGCCCGGCCAGGGGAGGCCCACACTGTGGCAGGAGGGACCTTGGCCATCATGTCATTGCAGCTGGAGAGTACAAAACTGCTTCAAGTCAGGGTATAACGGGGACGCTGAGGGTTGGACTCCCTCTGTAGAGGCTCTCTGTTTACTCAAAAGCTGATACTTCTGCATCAATACCTTCATGGGTTGCCCATCAATTTTTTCTTTGGGCACCCCATGGCTTATAAGCCAGACCCATAAATCCCATCGAGTTAACCACTCCCTCCCTTCTCCTTGTCTGTTTGCTTTTGAACCACCTGCATTTGCAACCCCCAGCCTCCACCTGAGGAGTATTCTCTAACAATTTGGCAGCTATGTCCCAGACCATTTTCCCTCATCATTTCAGCGATAGGAGAGACACATGGGTATGCAGATGGGAGGGAGCAGTATTGATTAACAAATTCTTAATCTGAGATGTAAAAGGCATATTCTCTGGACCATTCCCTACCCGCCTCCCATACATCCAATTTTGCATTGTTTCTTCCTGCAAAATCCCGAGTCCCTCCTCCATGGTCCACCAAGACCGTGGCCCTGGGTCATCATGGTCTCCCCTCTCTGGCCACTTGTCCATCCAGCATTCTATACACCAATCTAATAGTGGAGCATGGGTGCCCACTAAGGCATGTGCAGTATGCATTGTAACATTGTATAAAATGTCTTTTGTTAGATTTCCTAATGCCTTCAGTTCAGCTACAGTGACATTTACATGTGCACCACCTTCATTGAGTACCCTTAATATCCATGTTTCTTTCAGTCCTTGTTGAAATTTCTCTGCTAAGGTACCCAATTCCGCTGTTGTGTACCCCCTGATCTCCTGGGATCTACTGACTGTACTGCAGGTCCCTGGGTGGTACGATCATAATGTACTGGACATGTAAATGCACGTTGGCACTCCCCAACATTTGAACTCTCAGCATGTTCGACCTCATCACTCCATATATTCGCATCCCACTCCTCTGGATCTATCCACTGACCCATGATCCTCCTAGCATCCCATAAGGGTATCCCTGTCATTGCCAGAGCTGCCTCTGGCTTAGACAGCTGGGAGACCAGCTCCAGTGGGGAGGAGGAACAGTTAGGGGAGGAAGAATCAAGTTGTTTAGAACATAACTCATGCAATATTACTTCATTCAAATTCAGATGCATCTGCCAATGGACAGCCTGATCGAGCACTTCCTGCAGACGGGCATTTTGTATGCTCAGATGTTCAAGAACCATAAGGAGCAGCCAAGGAGCAGCACTCTCCCCCTCAGACTTAAGCTCCTTCTCAACCCACCGTTGCACCTTGGCAGGAGTTACAGGGCACTCCTCCTTACTTCCATAAACAGATGGACTCAATTTACAGAGTGTCTTTGCTACCCCATATCAGAACCTGGTATCAGGCCAACCCAGCATCCTTCTTTCCGATCCTTCTCCCTCCCCCTTCTGCAGTCTTTTAAATAAGTCCATGTCAAACAGCAGGGGAATCCCACTTCTAAAACCAATTGTCTTAGAATGAACTACTGGGTTCAGAAGATTCCCTGCGCTTGAACA